TTGTCGTCGTTGTGGTTGTTGTTGTTGTTGTTGTTGTTGTTGTTGCTGTTGTTGCGGTTGCTGTTGCTGTTGCTGTTGCTGTTGCTGTTGCTGTTGCTGTTGCTGTTGCTGTTGCTGTTGCTGTTGCTGTTGCTGTTGCTGTTGCTGTTGCTGTTGTTGCTGTTGCTGTTGCTGTTGCTGTTGCTGTTGCTGTTGCTGTTGCTGTTGCTGTTGCTGTTGCTGTTGCTGTTGCTGTTGCTGTTGCTGTTGCTGTTGCTGTTGCTGTTGCTGTTGCTGTTGCTGTTGTTGTTGTTGTTGTTGTTGTTGTTGTTGTTGTTGTTGTTGTTGTTGTTGTTGTTGTTGTTGTTGTTGTTGTTGTTGTTGTTTCGTTGTTTCGTTGTTTCGTTGTTTCGTTGTTTCGTTGTTTGGTTGTTTGGTTGTTTGGTTGTTTGGTTGTTTGGTTGTTTGGTTGTTTGGTTGTTTGGTTGTTTGGTTGTTGTTGTTGTTGTTGTTGTTGTTGTTGTTGTTGTTGTTGTTGTTGTTGTTGTTGTTGTTGTGTTTTTTGTTTTTGACTATTATTTTCCGGGGGGGCAGCCATATTTTGAGACCGAGGCACGGAAACCGCTTGAAGCAGAAACTGGGAAAGTGAGCTGGTGACATGCCGCGCAGCTTTGTAAATTGAATACTCGAAATGGTTTTGCGAGTGGATAAAGATACCCAATTCTCGACCAGCTATACATTTTCCAAGAAACGTCAGGGTCAACGTTCCTGATGCCTGGGCAACCTATGTTGGTCAAGTAAACAGCCAACTTTCTTTGGCTTCAAGCACCACTGGACAAGCAGATTCGCCAGGTCAGACACTCCGACATCAGCAAGAAACGGTGAATCCACCGGAAACCTTCGGCCCAGCTTGACGCAGGTCTGTCGCCAACAACTTCCATTTGCTTCCGTCTCCTGAAAATACATAAAAGACACATTTCCAGCAGTGATAGCTTCCCTTCAAAACCAACAGGGACAAAAACCTGCGTGTTCCTAAGCAAATGACAGACTAGGGGGTCTCCCCAAAAAAACCTGGGTGACTTCCGGTCGGTTTGCCTTTTGGAAAACATTGAGTTTCATCGGTATCTCTTTGAACTCACCCCGACAAGGGTACCAACTCACCTCCCCAAAAAAGACCCAACTCCCCACGCAGAGAAGACGCACGCGCTGGAAAAAAATATGCTACCCCCCCCCAGGCCCAGGTGGCTACCCCCTGCTTACGAGCCTATTGTGTTGCCCAGTTTGCTCCCCAGTTTGCCTGGCAAGGCTCTTAACAGACTTGTGAGGGGGGGGGGGGGGGAATACTTGTCTAGGTCCTACAGTAGTGCCCTTTTAGGAGGGTTCCTGTTGGTACCCTCATTCTAACCTCTCTACTGGAGGACCTTGTTCTTTGGGGCTCCTCCAAATCCGCGGCAAGGCGCGGCGGCAGAGCCGACCAGCGCCACCGAGGAAGTGCCTCCAAATCAACCACCGATATCGACGAGCGAAGCGGGGGACTCAGAAGTCTTCGTTTCACACGTTGAGCTTCTTCCATTGGCTTCAGCCCCCTGGAAAAAACAAACTTACTTCCAGCAGTGATTCCTTTTAAAACCAACAGGGGAAACAAACAATAATTCTAAAGAACCGGAAGGCTTGACATGGCTATGGTTTACGTATGCCTTACTGTTCAAACCAGGATATATTAGAACCACCTTCTGAAATGGCCAATAGGGGATAAAAGGGCGCTTGGAATCAGGCAGATTTCAGCTATGCCCAGGAAGTCATCAAGTTTGCCTGCCTCCCAAGCCCTTTGCTTCTACCCACCCACCCACCCACCCATCTTTGAAGGACGGCCGGTTTGCTCAACCTTTGGTTCAAGGCAAAGAAAGCCCGACGTTTTGCGGGAGTCTGTGTGGATAACCGGCCCTCAATATCAAGTTTAATCCCACTTAAGGGGTTATAACCTAGCTAGGTTACCAACAACTTACTAACTTGGGCCGAACACCGAATTGGACCAGTTATCATCCGTTTGGAACCCACTGCGCTGTTGAGCATTTTCGGCCCTGACCCGCTTGTACGACATTCCTGGCAAGCCACTCATGGGAAAGTTGACGGCTGCTGCCTCTTGAGTTGTTCACCCCCTCCCCCCAAAAAACAGAACTGCTCGCGCTGGTTGTTTCCCGCCCCAAGGATTATGGCACAAGAACCATCCACTAAACTTCCTTAGCTAAGAACTGCCAACTCCAAGTTCCAAACACCGCATTCTCCAAGCGCCCCCGCGTGGAGCCATACCTTCTTGTTCGCGCCTTGGACGGTCAGAAGCCAAGGAAGTGGCAAACGCATCCCAGCAAGAGCATGGAGTGTCTTGGCCCACATCTGGGAGACACACAAAAGAGATTTGGAATGAAGTCTACCCAAAAAACATAAATTCGTTTCGGAGACCCCAGTTAAAATAGGGGATCCAATTGGCTGGTTTTCGGCGTGTTTGCCCAGAAGCCATCCAAAAGTGGGGACTATGCTCAGAAGCACCCATGTGGGGGCCATCGAGAGGCTTAAACATCCTCCTTTTGGCGCCCCTTTGATGGTGGCCAGGTCATTGTTCCCTGCCGTGCGGGGTTCCAAGTTAGCATGAAGACGGCCTGGAGCTAACAAGTTTGGTGTTCCTACCCAGCTGTTGACTTCCATTTGCCCAAGTGGCCGCTAAAGTATGGCGCATGTTTAAACCACTCGGGAACCCTAGGTCGAAACCAGAATGGGAACCCACCCTAAAACGTTGATGTCTAGTTCAAGTTTAGGCCTTGCAAGCGGCTGTCTGGTGGAAAAAGCGCGCGGTGTTCTGCCAAACACGGGTGGTTTCAGCCAGATATGCTTACCCAGTCTTCATGCGCCAATGGATTCACCCCGTTTGACACTCAACCGCCTACCCCAGAACCATATCAAAGCATCCCAGCTCCACCCCCACCTCACTGCCTCAGTTCACTTAGTATAGGCCATATATAATTTGTGAGGAAACCAGGGATCTCAGAGCCCCGCGGAGATATGCCGGCGGAAACCAACAAGGCTAAGCCAAGGAAAACAGTAGCGGTGCCGAGCGAGTCATCTCTCTTTGAAGCATGGGTGTGTTTGTTTTTGGGTGCTTTGCTTCTGGCATTCCTTTAAAAAGGGAAACCGCCACTCAAAAAATGGGTACTCTCCCAACAAGGTACCGCCACATGAGCTCGCAGCGCGGTAGAAGTCGGTGAGAGTCCCCGGTTGCTCAAGCTAGGGTCGCTCCTGTTGACCCGACGCTGCTTAAACATGTCTTGAATAGGAAACTATGATGCTAGTGTTGTGGCTTGGTCACAGCTTTTGAGGCTTGGAGAGCAAGTTCGGGATACCCTCCAATCGAGGTGTCTCTTAGCACCAATTTTGCGCTACACAAAACTGCCACACAGCTTGATTCTTTGTGCATCATCTACGGTTGAATACAACCAGCGTGTCGGCTGAAGTGGTGTCTCAAGCGCTGGATTGCACCCCGAAACCCTATTTGTCAACGGCCTGCAAAAGAATCCCACGGATACAGGCCTTGGCATAACTGCCAGACAATCAGGGCATGACGCTTGGAATCAAACATCGTCAGCAAACGTATTCCTATGCTAGGGCGCCAGGGAGGTAAAGGTTTGGACAAACAGCCTCTTCAAGACCAAGATGGTTCATGGGGGGTTTCGGGCGTGTAGCTGTTATGCCTGTTGCTTGGTTGACGTTGGAAGGGGAGCAAACATTCACATTTCAGCAGTTAAGTGGGGATTTCAACCACTCAACCACAAGAAGCAAACATATAAAACGTTTCCCAACAACAACCATGGCTATGCCAGTTGCGGGCTCTGAAGCCGTTTTAGACGGCTAAAGGAACTGCTCCGCGTCGTTCCCAGGTCCGAAGTGCTGTGGATTTGCCACATCCCCTTCGCACCAGTGTGTCCCAACTTGCAAAGGGTTTTAATGCGTCTCAACCGGAACAAGACTTGGTCCATCCACAGTACCCATTGAGAAGGGAATTTCAGACATGTGGGTACTCAGTGACAATCCGGCCTTTAAGTAAATTTATGGCCACTGTCATGCTATCTGGAAGGTTGTGCAATTCGGGGGTGCTTCCCCTTGAGTTCAATGAATGAGGGATCTGGCCATTTGAGGGGGCTGGTCTGCTGCAAATTTGCATCTTTTTGTGGAACTCCTTTTGCTTGGTTTTCTACGGGAGACGGAAAGCTTTTGGCCAGTCTCTTTCTGCGGGCCCAAATTCAAGAAGACACAGCCACCAAAAGTAAATTCACTGGACCTCCTCATGGCGCTTTGCCAGCAAACGCAGCCTGCGTCCCTGAGCTTACTCTACACTCTGCAAACGCCCAATGAAGCCTTCTGTTTAGCAGTTCATCAAGGCTTCGGAAGGGGGAGCCCGCGTCTTTTCAGCTCCGGCGCACGATCACGCGTCGAACCCGTCACGCTCGTATCCCTGCGCGAATCAATCTCCTGGCGGATCGAACCCATTGCCAGACAAAATGATGAGCGCAATTCAAGCAAATGTTGCAACCCCAAGTCCAACAATATGACGGACCATGCAAACCTTAGCTCGCGCTACCCCCACAGGACTAACCTCTCAACATCAAGAATGGTTCACGCCTTCCCCAGGCCCTGGTTCTTTGTTCTCTGTGATTCTACTACGCTTGCGAACATGGAGGTCTGCTCGTCGAGTCCCACTGTCCCCCCCAAAAAAAGGTCCTATGATTCACGGGGCAATCCCTCTTTGCTTCGCGTCTGTCGGCGCCCAAACTAAGCCCAAATCGTTTGCCCAACAGCAACCCCCCGTGCCATAGAACCTCTTTTTTTCTCAGCCAGGCGCAAGCGATCCTTGTCCAGCAAAAAAAAAACAAGGATCACCCCAGAGCCTAAATCATCCTTCAGCCTGGATAAAACAGCAACATCTGGAATTGTTTGAGCCACGCCCATAGTACTGACTTGTTGACTGGTTTGTGGGGGAGGGCCTGGAAACGGGGGCGGGGGCAGTGTAATCTGGGTGACCCTTGACAAAAGGTGAAAGAATGGACGCGCTACTACAACAATAAACCAATCGAAAACACCCAACACCTCTTTGTGTTCCTGCTGCTTTGCCGGACGCCATTCAGATTTCTCACTGGCAGGGCTTCTTCTCGCAGGCCGCGATGCCCAGGCGCATGCGCATGTCATCGTAGTCGACACCTGAAAAATCGGACAAACATGCCTCCTAAGGTCGCGTTGGCTTGCCGATATACATACATACATATTTATACAGACAGATTACTTGCATGTGTTTGCTGATTGACTAGGGGAGCGGCCAAACACCTTAGACCACAGGGATCTTCCCAAGCTGGCCAGCTGCTGTGAGCACGTCCCTGCCTCTCGCCCGCAGAGACTCAGCCATGCTACAATTCAACTTCAGACTTGGCACTTGCTTGTCCAGCTCAGCTTCCCGCCTCTGCCCTACGTGGGCTGGGAAGCTGGTGAGGGCTCAGCTCCCAGACTCAAACCGCAGTCCCAGCCAAGCTCAGCAACACTTGCCCGGTGACCAGTGAGCCAGTTCACGCTTCGTGAAGCCAGCAGCAAGCCTCTTGCCCACTTTCAACAACAGCTCCAGTGTGGGGAAGGTGAACTGCGCCCATCCAGCTTCGTCAAACTGGCTCTAAATTCCAGCCTAATGCGAGCCAGCTTGTTTTGCCGGTCAAGCCCGCAGAACTCTTATGTTCTTTTCCGAGGCAGCGTTTACAATCATGATAAACATATTTTCGCACCCACAGGCAAAAATATGCGTGAAGTCAGGTCATTTCAGACGTATGCTACCAGGACTGGGCTCGTTTCGCAATGTTGGGTGGTTCATTAAGACAATAAGATTTTGCCACCGTATAAACAGTCTTTGCAATGTTGTCAGTGTCATTCCTCCTCTTCGCCACAAGGAAGACCTTTTGGCAACGAAACTGCAGACGCTTGACCCGAGAAAGGCCTGATCGTCATGACTTGGCCCGGCTAGTCGGCCCGAAGAACGAGACCCCAAGCGTAGAAACTACGCCCCCTGAGAGCCAAAGGAACCCATTGAATTCTCACCCTTGTGGCTGGGAAACTTCAGGAAACAGTCCGAATCACAAGTGGCCGCCTGTTTGTAGTATGGGGTCTTACGTGCAACTCCTGGAGTACCGGGTACCAAGTTGATGACTGGACTTATCGCATCGTATCCTGTAGAATTCGCAGGCTGCCGCTGCAAAGCATTTGCGCCTTGCTTTCCAGCATATCCAGGAGTGAGTGGAAACCACAAGTGCGAGGGACATCCAACTCATCCATTTTGGGGGTAGCCCAATTCTTGGCCGGGTGCGCAGAAAACAAAATACTCATGTCTGTCTTATGTTTAGCCAACCCCATAACAGCCAACCCCAAAGCATAAAATAGTTTTTGGAGGTGCGACAAGAATCGCTGAAAGACCCAAGCCGAACGAGCTCGGCTGACAGCTGAGTGGCAATCGCTGTCCACGGTGAACTCCTACGTCTGAGGAAACCGCCAAGTCTCGCCATATCTTTGGCTGCCTTTGCTGCAGTTTAGTGTCTGGCCACTCAACTTACAAAGCTGCGAAAACCACAAGAAGAAGGTTTCGGTTGTGATTCCGTTTCTCTGCGCAGTAGAACCCTGGCACCACCCTTTACAAGAGGAAACTGGTTGGTTACCTGCTAGAAGGGGTGGAAACTGGGATCCACTGCGTTTGCTAAACTGAAAAACCCTGAAGAAGGAAGACACGCTTTGTCAAGGGGCCCGTTGGGGATCCTATGTGCAAAAACTCAAGAGGCTTCTTCCTCATGAGCTGAAAAGTGGCCCAAGTTCAAACGCGGTTCAAGCGCGGTTGGACGCATGACCCCCTTGTACGTGTGTGACAAAAATCAGCTTGCCCCGCCTTAAACACCCCACTCCTCGCAACATCCAACCAACCAACCAACCAAGGAACCAAGCAACCCAGCAACCAGGCAACCCAGCAACCAAGCAAGCAACCAACCAAGCAACCAAGAAACCAAGCAAGCAACCAAGCAGGCAAGCAACCAAGCAGGCAAGCAAGCAAGCAACCAACCAGGCAACCAAGAAACCAAGCAAGCAACCAAGCAGGCAAGCAACCAAGCAGGCAACCAAGCAAGCAACCAAGCAAGCAAGCAAGCAACCAACCAAGCAACCAACCAACCAACCAAGAAACCAAGCAAGCAACCAAGCAGGCAAGCAACCAAGCAGGCAACCAACCAGGCAGGCAAGAAACCAAGCAAGCAACCAAGCAGGCAAGCAACCAAGCAGGCAACCAAGCACGCCACCAAGCAACCAACCAAGCAACCAAGCAACCAACCAACCAACCAACCAACGAAACAACCAACCAACCAACGAGTAGCAAAGGGTCGTTTTGCCTGAGGTTCATCTTACCCTTAAGCGGCATCTTCCCCTTAAGCGGTGACTTAAACTACAAATCTAAGCAAGCCATCTTTCAGGTGGCACTGTTTCTCTTGGGTCTTAAACATGGCTTGCTTGGACCAACTTGAGGCGCCATGTCCCCGCACAACAGTTTCCCCGCCCCCCTTTGGCTCCTTCGCGCAGGGTGGCTCCGTCTCGCTCACATGGCAGGAGGCGTTCAGCGCCTCGTTCCGCGCCTTCAGCCATGTCAGCTCCTCGTCCATGGCAGCAGTGCCTCGGAACCGGGCCCGGTTTCAAGGGCCCCCCCCCCCCCAACAGTTGAGGACTTCCGAGTCCGCAAATTGAAGCCGGGCATCCTGCAAAACCCGTCCAGTAGGCTTGTTGTTGTGAGGGGTACGGCAATCTTTTCCTCGCGAGACAACAAGAAGCACGGTTTGCTTCTACGTTTTTCTTGGTGAAAATAACATCAAGGGCTTGAAAATCCGCTTCAAGGACCACAAGGCCCAAACAGCACAAATCCTTGTGGCCGAATGCAGGTTGCGGGGAACGGGAAGCGCGAGTCGGCTCACAAGGCTCAGAAAAGAGAGAACAATCAAGACTCGGGCAACCCAGTGTTGGATGGCTTGCACAAGGAAGCCCAAAAAAACACCATTTGAGTGCGTCTCTGCACCCGACTTTGGGATGTAGAAATGGAAACGGCTTCAGATTCGCCGAGACCGGGCTAATCAAATCATCTGGGCTGCGCATCTGCCAGGCGGACGCAAAGCTCTGGTTAAAGATGGGGTACACCTGGCCCATGTGCTTCCAGTGTGGGGCGAAGATATTCTTCTTCGGTTCGCGTCGTACGTGGGAAACTATTAGAAAAACCGTCCTTTGCAGGGACCAACACCTCTGTTTTGACACCCCCTTTTCACAGGCTCGCCAGACGCGACGCAGGCAAAATCCACTAGTTGTGACTGGAATCTGGAAGCCATCATGGCCCAAAGGAGGTCACTCGACAAACCATGTGGTAGCCCTGAAAACTTTCTTCTTGGGGCCTAAAAGACACACAATTTCGGGAACAAACGCAAGGACCCCCCCCCGCCCAAACACATTGCTTGTGGAAAGCGTGTTGCTCAAACAACCAGACAACTGCAAAGCTTGGCGACATGCTGCAGCCCTTGACGAGTTCCCAAACACCATATGTTTGGTTTCCTTCCGGTTTCTCCTTTGCAACCCCCCCGTAAAAAAGAAAGCACAGTGGTGGGGTCATAACTTTCAGATATCTCAGAAAGGCCAGGGCCCACCCAACGGCCACGACTTCCCTGAACAAAACCATGTGCTTCTTCCGAATTTGTTCCTGAGGATCCACTCTACATCTTGGAGCAACAAAAACACAGGCAGCCACAAGGTGCATCTGCTGGATTCCCCGGGAGGCTCCAACCTGTTTCTTTTTTGTTTGTTGCTACGTATTTAGCCTGTCAAACTTGAGGCAAGCACAGTTCTTCTAAAACACGCTTTTAAAACGGGAGGTTCCAACCTTGGTTTCCGGCCCTTAAGGTTCCGCCCAAATTCCGTGCAAAACCCCACACATTTCGCCGAGCCGGTTCACAGTATGAACTCGTTTCCGGCAGCTGGAATATTTGCAGCAACATGATGACGCTCCACTTGGATTCCGGTATTGTCCTTCAAAGAGGGCAAAGCAGAAACACACGCAAGCAATATGTTGTCTTGGAGAACCAAGGTAGAAACAAATGTGGCCTTCTTGTTTGCAGGCAGCACTATCCCCGGCCGTACTCCCAGCGTGCCTGAAGGTCGATGTTACTAGCGAGCTGCAGCATCTGCTGAAGCTGGTGATCGCTGGGGTACTCGTAGCTCTTGTGATTTGTCTTCATGCTGTAATAGCTCACCTCGCTTTCTTTCTCTCCCCCATTTTGATCCTTCACAATTTCCAGCGTCTCCAAGTTTTGCGTCCTGGGGGTTCCTTCAGAACACGTCAAGCGACACCCTGCGGCTCGCCTGACATGGTTTGCCTACCCAGGAACGCTTTCCTCTCGAACTATGGGAATTTTCAATCTGGGGGTGCCGGTCCCAAATGGGCGCATGGTTTCCTGGCCCTCCAAAAAAGACGCACGCGCATGGGCCTCGGGTTTTGCTGGGAAGCCAAGAGTTCACCAACCGCAAGGAAAGGCCACGTTTCGACCCCAAAAAGGGAATCCAAGAAAGGCCTCTATGAGTCCGAGCCAGCCGACAACTGTGGGCTCGCTTCTGCGGCCCAACGAGGCGGAGCTGTGAATTTCTCCACCACCCCCCCCCTCCCCAAACCTGCGATTTGGGCAAACAAGGGCGATCCTACCACGCGCACACCCCTTTAGAGGCGGGGACTTGGATGCCCCCAGCTCCGGAAAGGCAAAAAGCCGAGAGGGGCCTTCTGGCGAACCGAGTCACAGCAGATAGTGGCAGGTTGAGGCGAGTCTTCAACAGAATAAGGCCCTCGTCGAAGAACTCCGTCATCATCATGAGGCCTTGCAGGGCATTGCAATAGTTCATAATATGACCATCACCATCGCTTAAGCAAGAAATATCATGTTCCCCCTTTCAAAGCGACTCCGGTCTAGGCACTTAAATGGTAAAGCGTGTTTATCCGGCGCATCGTGGCAAGTACATACACTTGCTCCCTCTCAAGGTTCTGGTTTCGTGTCGGGACATTTTCGAGAAAAACCAGACACATCACAGGCAGCACCATTGCTCGGGAAAGTACGATGCTTGCAGGAACTGTGCCACTGCGCCTGTAAAAACTCCGGCAATTTCTCGGCACGAAAGTACAGGCTGCAAAATCTCTGCCTTGACACCGACTCTCCGAGCAACCCCTGCCTGTGGGAAGGCTGAAGCTGGGTAGAAGCGTGGAGACAAATTCCTTCACCTCACGGCTGCTGGCATTCGGTGTGTAGCCAGCTTCGTAGAAGCCCAAGTCGTGTGCGTGAAAGTTCACGTACCTCGGGACCGGCCTCTCCTGTCGGGTGTGGTGAAAGCCATGATTTCACTTCGGATTCCGGTGGACCGTTTCATGTGAACTTCGGATTCCGGTGGACCAAAGGTAGTCAGAACAGACATAATTTCCATACTAACCCCTGATTGCTCCCTGCCTGCCGGGCCGCTTTCAGATAGGAGATGAAGTCCTTGCCCAGTGGCCAAGAGGAAAAAAGGACGCTTGTCCAGGCTATGAAAAGCCTAGTTTCAAAAGATGTCATCGTGGCACGTGTTTTCCCAAAAAGTCCTTCCTGGATCGCCAGTTGCTGCTTTTTTCCATGAACTTTACCCCAACAACCAGCAACAGTGACTGAAAACAACCGCAACTTGGCCATCTAGGTTGCAGATCAAAGATGTGCCACTCTGCGTCAGGGATTCATCGATGGAGCCCCATCTTGGTGTGACCCTTTTGCGGAAAAAGTTGTACACGCTCACGACGTGGCTCGACGGGTCCCGCAGAATCGACACGAAAAAAGGCGCAGGTCTCAAGTAGGCGTTAAAGGAGGTCTTGTTGAAGACGGCATGGTGCAGGACCATGTCGAACTGGTGCCGCGGCCCGCCATGCAACTTTTCCACCGCTTCTCCAGGAAAGGCGTCCTTACTTGGCTTGATACTACACTCCTGAAGCTCTAGAAATGCCAACAAATTTTGACTGAGCTGACCCCATGATTTCTCCAGCTTCAAAGTCACCGTGTTGGGTCAAAGGGGACAACCCCAAAGCCGCCTCACTTTCCGACTTTGATAAGCCCCAGAAACAAACAAACTCCCAACACCCGGGCAAAGCAGAACTAGAGGGAAAATGGGTGCGCAGCCGGGCTTCTGGATAGCCCAAATGCGAGGGGTCTTCGCAAGTCGGCAGCAGGATGCTGCGGTTCAGGTGCAGCGCTAACCGTTCGAAGATGACGGACAAAGTGCTGCCTGCCAAATTTCAAAGGATTGGGTTACAGCAAATTCTACGGGAAACAGCTGAGTTAGGGTGTTTTGGGGCCATGTCCTGCAGAAAAATCCAATTGGGGGCAACCATTCACCTTTGCCTCTAACAACATGATAAGGCTTATGAAGGCCGGCCGATAAACCCCATGAAACTGGGTAGATTCACCTACTCGTTGGAACCTTGCCCAATGTAAGCTCAATCAAAATTGGTTCAAAAAGTGATGGTTCAACCACCTGAAAGAGAAACTTAGGGACTCCTCAAAAAATGATTATTGTTGGTTGATTTGAAAGAGACCCCCTTCCATCCAAAAGTAAAACCAACTGGGCAACTTTCACTCCAGTTCAAACACCACTTCATTCGAGCTTACCTTCCATATTGGGGTAGCTTTCAAGGGAACCAAAAAACCACACCTGTTTTTGCGGCTTCCCCATTTAGACGCATAATTACCAAAATTGAGTGGGGACCTGCGAGTAACACCGATTGTGTTGGCATGCCTGATGTGTGTTCCTCTCAGCTCTCCCAAAACGACTCATAGGGCAGCCCTTTGCTCTCCATGTCACATGTCGTTCAAGTAGGGCACGTACTTGCCCACGTGACAAATATCAAACATCGTTTGCTGATTCGGCTAATGTTTGCTGCTTGCTTTTGAAACTGCCACCAATGCAACGACAAGGACAAACATGGTGGCGCTGGAAAACAGGGAACAGTTGCTTGAGGCTTTTCTGAACGTCAACTTGTGGCTCCTGGGCATGAAATTCAATTGCAACCTTTGTGGACATCGTGTCCGGCTGTCAACTGGTGGGAGGTTATATCTGCCAGGCCTGCTGTCTTGTGTGTCTTCACCAAGCCGATCGCCGGCGAAACGCTCGACGTATGCGTCCAACGGGAGCTCTGCAGAAGGCCGGCTGAAACTGCCTTTGGCTGTGGGTCGGTTTCTTCAAGCTGGGCGTTGAAGCCAAGCAACAACTCGAGGGTGCCGCAAAAACAACAAAGCAAACAAACAAACAAACAAAGAAAGAAACAAGCAAGCAAACAAAGAAACAAACAATGAAACAAAAAAACAAATCCAACATACCGCGAAGAAGCATGACAAACCCCAGGTAAGTCAGAACAAAACAACTTAAACACAAGTAACAAAACAAAACCAGTTGGACACACACACGCACACGCACAAGCGATCCCGACACTTGTTCAACCCCTTCCATGCGCCTGGTTGTCACAGTCAGCCGCCAGGCTTGCGGCTGCCAGCACTGGAAGAAGAAGTAAGGTGGGTACCTTGGGTGCCACGCCAAACCTGGACCCACTCAACCCCTCACCCAACAAAATGCGACAAACATACTCTCCCAATTAACATGGAAGTGGAACCTGTCGCGGAAATTATCCCTTGAAAGGAACATGGTGTTCCAGACCCTAAACGTCAGGTTCCATGTCTCAATTGGTGGGAGGGTAAACAGCAACCAAAATTACACCAGCATAGACCCCAGATAGCACACCACGGCTACGAACCATGACGCAGCATCATAATAATTCCCGCGGCATGATGATGATCTTGACAGCATCTTGGTGATGTTGACAGCATCATGAAAATACCACTGCTACTCAGCCGCTACATAGAAGCTCATCAGCAAAACGATGATGTTGACAGGATGATGCTGAGACACCAGCCACGTACGATTCCGCGCTACATATCTAGCAGAAAAATGGCAGAGACGACGTCCTGATGAGTTCGACAGCATCATGATGATGCGGACAGCATCATGACGATGCTCACAGCATCATGGTGGTGGCAAAGGCAGCATCCTGATGATACCACAGCCACAAATCATCGTGTAATGAAAGTCAGCATCATCCCGATGTTGACAGCATTATGCCACGAACCATAACGCGGCATTGCAGCGATTGCAGCAGCATCATGATGTGGTTGACAACATGTGGTGGACAACATCATGATGATACACCAGCCACGAACCATTACACGCGACAGTTAAAGCAGCAACAACGTCCGAATCGGTTCAACACCATCATGATGCTGCGGACAGCATCATGATGCTGCGGCCGGCATCATGATGATGCTGCGACAACCGCGACCCAAACAGCACCCGCCCTAGCACCCTGCCACCAGCCCGCCGGCAATCTCCGACGTACAACACCCCAAACAGTACCCCAAAACAGCTGCATCAGCTCCCCAATCTGCATGTGGCCATCAATCTTGCAAGAATGCGCCTGCGCCATCACCAGCACCTCAAACAGCACCCCAAACTGAGTGCCCCCCCGGTGTCCATCAGCGCCTTTAACAGCACAGGCACCAGCCTGCATGCCCCCTAGCACCCGGCCGTCAGTTTCGCGAAGCGGCGCCTCCACCAGCACCCGAAACTGCATGCCCCTTAGTACCCGGCCGTCAATCTCGCAAAACAGCACCTCCACCAGCACTCCAAACTACATGCCCCCTATCTCGCAAAGCGGCACCTCCACCAGGACCCGAAGCTGCATGACCCCTAGCGCCCGGCCGTCAATCTCGCAAAACAGCACCTCCACCAACACTCCAAACTACATGCCCCCTATCTCAAAGCGGCGCCTCCACCAGCACCCGAAACTGCATGCCCCCTAGCACCCCGCCGTCAACCTCGCAAAACAGCACCTCCACCAGCACCCGAAACTGCATGACCCCTAGCACTTGGCCGTCAAGCTCGCAAAACAGCACCTCCACCAGCACTGCAAACTACATGCCCCCTAGCACCCGGCCGTCAATCTCGCAAAACAGCACCTCCACCAGCACCCCAAACCACATGACTTCTAGCACTTGGCCGTCAATCTTGCAAAACAGCACCTCCACCAGCACCCCAAACCGCATGCCCCCTAGCACCCGTCCGTCAATCTCGCAAAACAGCACCTCCACCAGCACCCCAAACTACATGACCCCTCGCACTTGGCCGTCAATCTCGCAACACAACACCCCAAACTGCATGCCCCCTAGCACCCGGCCATCAATCTTGCAAAGCGGCACCTCCACCAGCACCCCAAACTGCATGCCCCCTAGCACCCGTCCGTCAATCTCGCAAAACAGCACCTCCACCAGCACCCCAAACTACATGACCCCTCGCACTTGGCCGTCAATCTCGCAACACAACACCCCAAACTGCATGCCCCCTAGCACCCGGCCGTCAATCTCGCAAAGCGGCACCTCCACCAGCACCCCAAACTGCATGCCCCCCAGCACCCGGCCCTCAATCTCGCAAATCACTTTCCCTTCTTTAATAGAAGTTAGAACCCCTATAGCTTTCAGCTATCTGGGGAAAAAACTGAAATAAACGGCTTCATGGGGCTGCGAGGGTTGACTATAGCCTTAGAATGGCAAAAGGGTCACCCGAAACCAGGCTGTCTCAGTATGTTTGGCACAGTTTTGGCATGGATATCCTACACCGAGGAAAAAAGCGCAGACACATCACGGCTTTCCATATGGATTTCGAGGGCAGGTGGGGGTGTTCTCCAAGATGGCGATCCTTTTCAAGGAACGGAGTCACACTCAAAACCTGGTACTTAAGGGGGAGAGGGGCCAAAAGCAGGATGCCGCTAAATGATTCAACACTTGCCAGCACTGGCCTTTTCCATACAAAACCAACACGGGTATCTAGTTGAAGACACCCATACCAATCACGATCTACTTAAAGAAATGGAAGCTTGCTGATCTTAATCCTCAATATGTTCAGGGTCCCTGCTTTATTGGGATTCCTACCTTCCAGGTAGAACCCCCGAAGTTCATAACTGGGAGGCATGAAGTGGAAAGTTGAGGACTCTGTGTTGGTTGCAGCTGGAAGGGAAACCGCAGAAAAACGAACACCCATGAGTGGGATCTCCAAAACAGAAAAAAAACAACTACCGGTATCCTGGAATGGAATGATTGATTCCATGTCAGCTCAACTCCGAATAATATGTCAAAAGTACAAATGTCAGCTCTTAAGGGTATGGCTGGCTGAACTGCCAAGAGGGGGAGAACCTTCCGACAACCCAAAGCGGCAAGGCACCATCGCCGCGGAACAGCCGCGCGGAGCGCGCTTCGCGGGCGGCCAGCCGCGGAACAGCCGCGAGGGGGCCGCAAGGCACCCCCGGAGCCACTGGAGCCAAGTGGAGAAGCACCGTGCGGTCAACATGTCGGACAAGGCCCTTGGACAGGGATCGTTATGAAAAACACTTGAACATTGGCTTGTAAATTGTGGTTTCCCTGTATTTTGGTGTTGCAAAAGCAACATGTCCGCCGACATTGTTCGGCGTGTCGGATACTTACTAGAGGATAGAGGATAACCCCCCCCCCTTAACCCCCCCCCGCCCGACGTCTATTACGTAGGTTTTTTTTTTTTGGGGGGGGGGGCCCCACATACCGCGCGGCAATTTGATGACGTTCCACTAAACGTAGTCTTCGGGGAGCCGGTGTCGCAAAACAGGGGTCCCAGGCTCGATTCCCCCTGCCGGCTTTTTGGCTGGCTTGGGCTTCTTGCATCCTTTTGCCGAAAATCTGGAAAAACTCAATGTTTTTGGTCGTCCTCTTTGCGAAAACGCCGGAAAACCGTGCTTTTTGCGGAAAATACTGGGGAGCAAATGGGAAGTGCAAGGATACATACATGCATACATTACATTACATTACAGTACATTACATTACATTACATGATTACATACATACATACATACATACATACATACATACATACATACATACATTACATACATACATACATACATACATACATACATACATACATACATTACATACATACATACATACATACATACATACATACATACATACATACATACATACATACATACATACATACATACATACATACATACATACATACATACATACATATACATACATGCATACATACATACATACATACATACATACATACATACATACATACATACATTACATACATACATACATACATACATACATACATACATACATACATACATACATACATACATACATACATACATACATACATACATACATACATACATACATACATACATACATACATACATACATACATACATATTACATACATACATACATACATACATACATACATACATACATACATACATACATACATACATACATACATACATACAATACATTACATTACATTACATACATTACATACATTACATACATACATACATTACATACATACATACATACATACATACATTACATACATACATACATACATACATACATACATTACATTACATACATTACATACATACATTACATTACATACATACATACATACATACATACATTACATACATACATACATACATACATACATACATACATACATACATACATACATACATACATACATACATACATACATACATACATACATACATACATACATACATACATACATACATACATACATACATACATACATACATACATACATACATACATACATACATACATTACATACATACATACATACATACATACATACATACATACATACATACATACATACATACATACATACATACATACATACATACATACATACATACATACATACATACATACATACATACATACATACATACATACATACATACATACATACATACATACATACATACATACATACATACATACATACATACATACATACATACATACATACATACATACATACATACATACATACATACATACATACATACATACATACATTACATACATACATACATACATACATACATACATACATACATACATACATACATACATACATACATACATACATACATACATACATTACATACATACATACATACATACATACATACATACATACATACATTACATACATACATACATACATACATACATACATACATACATACATACATACAATACATACATACATACATACATACATACATACATACATACATACATACATTACATTACATACATACATACATTACATTACATACATTACATACATTACATACATTACATTACATTACATACCATACATTACATTACATACATTACATACATACATACATACATACATACATACATACATACATACATTACATACATACATACATACCATACATACATACATACATACATACATACATACATACATACATACATACATACATACATACATACATACATACATACATACATACATACATACATACATACATACATACATACATACATACATACATACATTACATACATACATTACATACATACAATTACATACATACATTACATACATACATTACATACATACATACATACATACATACATACATACATACATACATACATACATACATACATACATACATACATACATACATACATACATACATACATACATACATACATACATACATACATACATTACATACATACATACATACATACATACATACATACATTACATTACATTACATTACATTACATTACATTACATTACATTACATAACATTACATTACATTACATTACATTACATTACATTACATTACATTACATTACATTACATTACATTACATTGCATGCATACATACATACATACACTTACTTACATTACATACATATACATACATACATTACATTACATTACATTACATTACATTACATTACATTACATTACATTACATTACATTACATTACATTACATTACATTACATACATACATTACATACATACATACATACATGCATGCATACATACATACATACTTACTTACTTACATTACATACACACATGCATACATACATATGTACATGCATACATACATGCGAGAGAGGGAGATTGGGGAGAGAGAGGCTTGGGGGGGGTGGGGAGGGAGAGAGGACAACAGAACACACAAGGGAGACAAGGGAGAGAGGAGGAAGGAGAAAAGGGAGAGGACAATGTCGGCGGACTGAGCCGGAGGCTCTAAAGTTTCAAATGGGCAAAATGTATCTTTTAAGGAGCCCTGTTGGAGAAGCCTCGTTCCAGACAGCCACAGAAAAAGGGATGTCCATTGCGGGTCTACTACAGGACCCTTTTGGTGCGCACCACCGGCCTTTGACCAACATATTCAGGACTTCTTATGCTTGCTTCATCCTTGGGGCATCTTTTCAATAAACTGCCTTGAACAGCAGTCAGTTTGATGGACGGCACCTTTTTGAAAGAAGAGACACCTGATGGAAACCACGGAGGTTCCCCGCCATTTTGCAAGGCCACGGGCATCTACTTTCACAAAGGCCTGACCATCGGCATCCGCAGCCCAGGTGTCACCCGCAGCCCCAAACGAAAGGAACTATCCAAAGAGAAAACCAGAATTTGTCTCAAATGAGGAGACCCCAACCATCCCAAACCCCAAACCGCCGCTCGCCCTTACGACCCCTTTTGGACAGCACCTGCGGCTTTGGACAAGGGGAGAAGCAGTCGTCGCAACGGCTGGGTGGAAAGGGTCGTGCATCACAATATATCAAAATCAAGGGGCCCCAAAAAGCGGAGAACACAAAAAAGCCTCAAGGGCCCCCTTGCCAAAACCAAAAAAAGGCAACGCTCATGTAGCGGGCTTTGACTCCAGTGAGTTTCCGCCCGCTCCTGCCAAAGCCGGATGTGATCTGGCTCATGAGCCCGGCTCCTCTGGCGTTCATGGAACACCCCCCCCCCCGGGCAAGCAACCAGTGACACAAAAGGTAGGACCAAGACCACAAAGAAAGCTCCGGGAGAACCAAAGCGAAACTGAACTCAACATCTCAAAAGGAAGATCCACCTTCAGCCTGTTTGACCTCTATTTTTGTAGGCCTTTCAAAAAAACCGGGTTTTTGTGCGTAAGGCACTGATTTGTGGAAAAGGGGCGTCTTTTGGTGCATGCGCCGCCTCCTGCCTCAGGCCTCTTGGATGCTTGCATTCCGGCTAAACGCAGGGCTGCGACTGTCAGAGTTTGGGCTAAGTAGCCCTTTGGAAAAGCATATTTTCTCAATTTAATACCTTCCCAGGCAGTCAGGGTCGGAAAGGTAAGCCTTACAGGGGTATCTCCCACAGCTGGCGCACAGACTTTTGCCATCCGCACACATGCGCTCGCGGTGTTGGACACCCTGAGACGGTGTCACAGGTCGGGAACCTCAGCCACCGGGACTGTCGGCGCAGTGGAAGCTTTGCGCAAACTTCCACATGCTTTCTTGGATGGGTTCCCAAGTGTATCTTGGAACAGCTGAGCTACTGCGTTGTAAACCGCATCCGTTGTTGGATCATCAACAAGCCCTTTCCCAAAGCAAATCTTCACAATTCATCTCCCTACGTAAGTGACGGGAAAGCTTGTTCTATCCTGGTTGGATGCCATCAAGCAAAATGCGTGTTCAAGGCTTGAGCTCAAGTGACCCATAGTTGTACGTAGCAGTGCCCCCAGCACCATGGACTCCCGGCTGGCCGGTCTCAGTGATGATTGGGAGAACATCAGCGACGCCCGCTCTCGGCTGAGGGAGTCTGGCTCTTTGTTTGTGTGGCAGGATGAGGACTCTGTTGGGGCCATCACCATCAAGTCAGTTGAGCTGAACTATGAGCTTTTGCTACCATGCGTTCGCCGGCTGCCGGGTGATGATGGCAGCATGAAGATGTTTAAGGTTGAGCATCTGGAGCGGCAGCGCCCTAGCTTGTGGATCAAACATGTTCTCAGGAAACCAAGGTTGGGTTCACAGTTGTACGGAATTCCTGATGTGTAAAAAGCTAGCGCGGTTCTAGACTCCCCTAGCTCTTGTTGACCGATACCCCAGTTTTTTTTCGGCAAGCGCCGAGGATCCGGGCGGTGCACCGCCTCGTTGACCGCGCCGCTCAGCCTAAGAAGAGCCAGGTGAAACAAGATGCGTGGTGCTTGAAGAAATTCTGCGTGCTTGTCAAGCGGAAGTTGCAGCGGCAACAAATCAGCCGCTCGCAGAAGTTTCGACTTCTTCTAGCCGCTTTGGAGCCGGACGGGGGGGGGGTTGATGAATGGGGCCACAAAATAAGAGGTATCACCACAAAACATGCTTGCAAATGCACGTGCATGACGTGTGTTGGTGTGTGTGTGTGTGTGCGTGTGCATTCCTATTTCTATTTGCGTGTGTGCGTGCGTG